TCAAAGTTGTGGAGCGAGAGACCAAAACCAAAGCCTACAGCAAGGAGGGCCTGGGCCTGGCACAGAAGGTGGACCCTGCCCAGAAGGAGAAGGAGGAGGTTGGCCAGTGGCTCACGGTGAGTTGGGCAGAGGAGAGGAGGTGACCCCAGGTGTCCAGGGGACTCTGGTGACCACCCGCTCCCTGTCTTCTTGCCCAGACCACCATCGACACCCTGAACATGCAGGTGGACCAGTTTGAGAGTGAAGTGGAATCTCTGTCGGTGCAGACGCGCAAGAAGAAGGGCGACAAGGACGTGAGTGGGGCGGCACCCATGACATGGGAGTGGCTGGCTGGTGGGTAGGAAAGGCTGGCTCTTCAGCCTGTAGGAGTTGGGGTCTGGCCTCCTAGGGCAGACGGGGCTAGCTGGGGTTGTTAGGGGTCAGGAGGTGGGGTTGGGAGGCCAAGCTGCTGGCTGAGGCTCAGGGAAGAGGTGAGTGGCCTGCCTGTACATTAGGGGGAAGAGGGGCAGTTTGGGGGAAGGTGCCGTGTTTGGCCTGGGTTGCAGGGCGTGTGTGAGAGCTGGCACCTGGGTGGGGAGGTCCAGAAACTGAAGCTGTGGCCTTGTAGCACTTGCAGGGCCCAGGTACTAAGGAGAGGACAGTGGGTATGAACAAGGTGGGACACAAAGAAGTGGTTCATTTGGCTTCTAAGGGACCAAGCCAGATGCTAGGGGCCCAGATTCCAGAAACCCGGGATTGTAGGGTGTGAGCTCACAGGTATGCAGACCGTTTCTTCTTGTTAGTACAAGAAATACAGGGAATGGGACTGGGGTTTGCGAAGCTGGTGGGTGGGGCATAGCCTGGGTAGTGGGAAGTGTGCCAGAGATGAGTGTCTGAGACCCGGGTCTGGGGACCAGGGGCTCAGAGGGGAGATTCAGTCTGCTGAATAATGTTTTGGTCAATGACAGACCAAAGTATATAATAGTAGTCACGTGAGACTGTAATAGGTTATAAACAAAAAGTGTGTCTGTGATGTTGAAAGCCTGGCACTGGCAATGACGATGGTGCTGACTTCTCCGCTGGCTCCAGGTGGTTTAAGTAGAGGGGGCTAGTTAAGTAGAAGGAGCAGTGGCTCAGCCTGCTGTCCACCTGCCCTGAGCCCCTGCAGCTAAGGCACTGGGAGGAGGGGGACCAGGAGCCTGCCCCTGCACACAGGCACACACATTAGAGTGCATACTAACTTCTCCTCACCTTTCCCCCCTTTTCTCTTTATCTCTCTCTCTCTACTGTCCTCTCCCCATCACTTTATCTTTGGTCCCTCTCAATCTTTGCTTTTCTGTTCTCTCTCCTTTCTCTTCCTTTCCTCCTGATGTCTACTAATCTCTGTCCACAGCCCTGTTCCTTCAACACATGCGGGTGCGCACATACACTTTTTTTGCACCATATTTTTACTGTGCATTTTACGTTTAGATACATTTAGATACACGAGTGTTTCCCACAGTGTTACAGTTGCCCATGGTACTGAGTACAGTACTTGTCTTACAACCTGGCAGCCCGGGAGATGGGCTGTACCGTAGAACTTAGGTGTATAGTGGGCTGTGTTATCTGGGTTTGTGTACATGCTCCTGTGGTGTTCACCCACACCAAACAACGCACCTCTCAGGACATGTCCCTGCTGTTATGTGACACGTGACCATGTAATAGGTCCTTGCAGAGAGGATCTTTGGAACTGGGATTAGCGGGAGAGAATTGGAGCCTTTGGGAGGATCAGGCACCCAGAGAGTCTAGGAGCCAGGCTTCAGAATCTGGGCTCCTTAGGGGGACATGGCTAGGCCAGGAGGTGATGGCAAAGATGGTCATGATTATAAACTACAAGCTCCTTTGAGTAGGGATTACCATTATTATGTCATAGCCAGATGGGGGCTGGTGCTTCTGTACCCCTGAAGGTGGTCAGAGCTGATAATGGTTTTCGAAGAGGTATAAGGTAGGGTACACATAGGGGTCGGGTTGGGAGGCACAGAGATCCCCGAGTCCTCTCAAGGTTTGCAGGGATGTCTGGGAAAAGCTGTGGGATCTTTGAGGGGTCAGAGGGTGGGCAGACTCCATAGGATCCCATGCTGATCAGGGACTGGGGACGGGTTCTGTGGGGGGCTGGAGGGGCTGGAGGGGCTGGGGCAGCACCCAGCAGCCCCTGAGCCTGGCCCTGGGCTCCCCAGCAGAAGCAGGACCGGATCGAGGGCCTGAAGCGGCACATTGAGAAGCATCGCTACCATGTGCGCATGCTAGAGACCATCCTACGCATGCTGGACAATGACTCCATCCTGGTGGACGCCATCCGCAAGATCAAGGACGACGTTGAGTACTACGTCGACTCCTCCCAGGACCCCGACTTTGAGGAGAATGAGTTTCTCTACGACGACCTGGACCTCGAGGACATTCGTGAGGCCCAGGGGTGACCTGCTAGTGCAGGGCGGTGGGGGTCGGGCAGGAGCGCCCCAGCCAGCTCAGCGCCCCTCCCCCCCACAGCACAGGCGCTGGCCGCCACCTCCCCTCCCAGCCACAGTCACATGGAGGACGAGGTCTTCAACCAGTCAAGCAGCACGCCCACCTCCACCACCTCCAGCTCACCCATCCCGCCCAGCCCGGCCAACTGCACCACGGTGAGGCCAGGGGGCCCCATGAGGGTTCCGGGTGTGCAGGTGGGGGGCCGGGCTGGGCTCCGTAAGGGAGCTGTCGGGCGGTGCTGGCTTCCTGAAGACGAGGACCCGGGTGGGTTCCAGTAGGTTCCCAGCGAAATTAAGGTCACGGGTACTGGGGCGCTCCGGGGCTGGACGGTCACCTGGGTCCAGGCCCCTGGGATGTTCAGAGACTAGCGTCTTTCAGGGCCCGCGGGGGTCACACAGGTTTCTGATTGTGCGTCTTCCACCTCAGGAAAACTCTGAAGATGACAAGAAGAGAGGGCGCTCAACAGATAGTGAAGTCAGCCAGGTGAGTCCAGTGGACATGACACTGATGGGCATGTCACTCGTTCTCTGGTTCCCAAGGGTTTGCTGAGGCCTGAGTATGGCCAACAGATCAGAAGGTACTGCTGCCTTGAGGGAGACCTTAGGGGCAGGCAGAGAGGTGACTCACTGGTGCTGTGGCCCCAGGCACCCGCCTGGCTGAGGCAGTTGGAGAGGGCAGCTCCTCTGGGAGTGGGGCATGTCTGCCCTCTGCTCAGAGCGAGACTTGAGCTCACCTAGTAGGGAAGGGAGGGCATTTCTGGGCAAGGCAGTGGCAGGTAACAGGTGAGTCCTGCCTGAAGTGTTGCGAAGTGAGCCTGGCCAGGTGTGCAGCGCTGGCTTTGAACACAGGATCTTGGGTTGTTGGGCTGAGGGCCCAGACCCCATGCACCCACTCTGAAAGACTCCAGCAAGCTTGGGACCTGAGATATCAAAGGTCAGACAGGTGTCTTCTGTGGAACAAGGTCTCCGGGCCTTGGCTGTGCCATGACGTGCATGTGAATGTCTGAGAGGAAGCACTTGTGAGACTGGCTTGGCTGCTAGTGAACCTGTGAGTGGTCAGCATCTCCCAGGATGGGATGCCCTGTGGGGACACCACTCCAGACGGGGTCCTTAGGCAGCAGCAGGACAGACCCAAAGTTCCTCCATGGGCTGACAGGAGGGCTAGCGGGGCCCCTGAGGCAAGTATGGGACCCGGGTGAGCAGGCGAGGTGCCAGGAAGAGTCGGTCATGAGTCCCGCTGGGTGCGTAGTGAGCGCGAGGTGCTGTGGGGCATGTAGATGGCAGACTGAAGAGGCCAAGAATGATTGCCAGCAGCCTAGCTGTGGAGGGGTGCCATGGGCACATCACTGACCTCTGCTTTCTGGGATATTGATTGTTAACACCTCATGAGTTGCTTTGGTGACCCAGTAAGTGTTGTTCAGAAATACTGTGCGGTTTCCAGGATTTTTGTCCTCTTGGACTCGGCTGGTTCCAGCCGATCTGGTCCTGAGGACAGTTAGTGTTTCCCACTGCTCTCCTGTCATCAGACATAGGGTTGCTCTCACTGACATCCAGGCTCTGTCAGAGTCCTGTGTCTAGGGGCCATCATGGGCAGATGTGCAGGCAGGATGTGAGACGCGAGGTGTGGGCTACGAATGCATATGTGTTTTAAGCATGAAGGTGGCAATTTAAGCCACAAGGGTGCAGTCACCCAGGTCCCTAGGAGGGATGGGTGGGAGGCTTGGCAGACCTGCTGGCCCACTAGATCCTGACTCTTCTCTCTTCCACCTGCAGTCTCCCGCCAAAAATGGCTCCAAGCCCGTCCACAGCAGCCAGCACCCTCAGTCCCCAGCTGTGCCGCCCAGCTACCCACCTGGCCCCCTGCCTGCTGCCTCTGCCCTGAGCACCACCTCTGGCAATAATGGGGCCCCTGCCCCGGCAGCACCCCCAAGTGCCCTGGGCCCCAAGGCCAGCCCAGCTCCCAGCCACAACTCGGGCACCCCAGCTCCCTACGCCCAGGCTGTGGCCCCACCAGCCCCCAGTGGGCCCAGTGCTGCCCAGCCTCGGCCTCCCAGCGTCCAGCCCGGCGGGGGAGGTGGTGCAGGCAGCAACAGCAGTAACAGCAGTGGAGGTGGAGGTGCCAGCAAGCAGAACGGTGCCACCAGTAAGCAGGGTGCTAAGAGTTGGGAGGGTTCCTCAGGTAGCTGCTGGTGGCTCCTTTTCATCCCTTCCTCCTCCCCTCAGGTTACAGCTCAGTCGTGGCAGACAGCCCGGCAGAGGTGGCTCTCAGCAGCAGTGGGGGCAACAACGCTAGCAGCCAGGCTCTGGGACCCCCATCTGGCCCCCACAACCCACCCCCCAGCACCTCGTGAGTGTCCGGCCTCCGGCAGGGTTGGGGACAGACAGCCTTCTGGCACAAACAGGCACGGGGCCACCCCCACTGTCACCACATCTTGCGGACATAGGCCCTGCCCTTGCCCTTTGGGACATCCCCATGAGCTGTTTCTCTCTTCTTTCCCTCTAGGACACTACATGCCCCCACCTTTGCCCTTTGGAATGTTCTAAAGCATTCCTCATCTAGTGGGGTAGTTCTCAGAGCCTCATACACCATTGGGCACTGACCTCCCCTTTCCTGTGGAGCTCTTGTTTGGCCCCCATCCCCCATTTTCTGTTCCTGCCCCAAGGTCACCTGACTCCATCGGGGGGCTCCTTGTCTGCTTTTCAAAGTGAAAGACCCCAAAGTCCTCCTTCCTTTCTTCCTCACCCTCCAGCTCTCAGATCGAACCCTCCCACTGGGTCCCTGTTTTGCCCAGAACAGTGCTCCACAAGAGTGCTCAACCCCCCTAGGTGGGAAACAAGGAAGGCTGCTCCCGGCCATCTCAGTCCTGGGCTCTGGGTGGCCTCCCCAGGGGGCATCTGCCCAAGGCATCCTGCATGTGGTTGGAACACCAACTCCCACACTGTCCTCATAGGCTCTTCCAGAGGTTCACCTGTTGCTTAGTGGGTTTTGGCCACACACAGCATCCTTAGAGCCTTCATCCTGCCTTTCAGTTCTTCCCTTCTGCCCAGAGGGCCTTTCCCTCTCATCCGCGCCCCTCAAACTCCCCATCTTGGGTCCCATCTGCTGGGTCTTCTCCCTGTTTTGATTCCTGCCCTTGATCACCCAGGCCTTCCTGCTCATCTCACTCTTGGGGACCCTCCTCTGAGTTCCCTCCTCTTGTCCACTTTTCAGGAAGGAACCCACTGCAGCTGCCCCAGCAAGTGCTGGAGGTGTGACTCCAGGCTCAGGGAACAACGCCGGGGGACCCAGCCTCCTGGTGCCACTTCCTGTGAACCCTCCCAGCTCCCCGACGCCCAGCTTCAGTGAAGCCAAGGCAGGTGGTGCCCTGCTCAATGGACCCCCGCAGTTCAGCACTGCCCCGGAAATCAAGGTGGGTGCAGAGCCTGTCTGTGTCCTGCCCCTGCCACCTTTGCCCTAGCTCTCCACTGTCCCCTCCTTCATGCCTGTTACCACCCCCATCTCTACCCCTCACACTCCATCACTGGCTCTCTCCCCCCTCGGCACATTCTCTCTCTAGGTGTTTTCTTACTGCCCACACCCTCAACTTGTCTCCACGTCTCCCCATCCCCGTCCCCATCTGCTCCTGGTCTCCACTGGCTCCTGCTGGTCCAGGCTTACCTACTGTCTGCTCTCCAGGCACCCTCTACCATCTCCCTCCAGCCCTCTGTCTTGTCTCCATTTCTCCTCTTAAGACATATTGTACTTCATTCACACAAACCACTATCTGGCTTACTGTCCTTCTGTCTCCTCGAGAAACTGAGTTGATGGAACACTCGCTGATGTCTGCTCTGGGCCACACTGCCAAGTGAAAGCACCTAGTTCCTGCCTCCTGTGCAAGGGGGCAGAGCACACTGGCCGGGCGTGTCCAAGCAGGGCTGGGCAGAGGCATCATGTGCCCACTTGGTGAATCTGACTTAACCTATGGAGATGCCCTGCAAGGCCTCCTAGGGGTGGTGTCTCAGCTGGGACCTGGATGGGACAGAAATGGCTGACGGGGAAGAAGGGGGTTTCCTTGTTGGAGTTCTAGGAGGGGCTGATGTCGGGTGGCAGAAGGCTGAGTGGGGTTCACCAAAGAAGAAAGTGGTATACACTTCAGGAGAGGGTATAGTCTGGCTGCTTGGCCAGATGGTGGGGTGTCCCTGGAGAGGGCAGGGGGTTCTGCTTGCCACAGTCTGAAATGGCATTAGCAGGATGTGGGGCTGACTTCCTGGGCCAGTGCATGTTGACCTTGGCTCCACTAGGGGCAGCAGGCATGCCCGACTGTCCGAGTCCAATCCCCTGCGCTGCCTTCTGTGAGCACAGAAGTCACCACATGTGACAGACTGCTTGGAAAGTGGAGTAGTCCACACACAGCGCTCTGGAGGTCCCAGCCCAGAGAGCACTGGGGTGGAGAGGTGCGGGGACAGGAGGTGCACGGTGTGTGCACGCTTCTGCAGGAAGGGGCAGAAGATGTGGGTGGACAGGTGAACACAGGGCGGAGGGAGAGAGATCCAGATGCAGGATGGAGGCTAGGTGCACGCAGAGCGGCGTGTGATCCTGTGAGCTGTGACAGGAGCCAGTGTGTTGTGTCTTCTTCAGTCTGTCACTTTCTGTAGTGTGTCTGCAACACCCGTGCACAGCATTGCACAGCCAGGCCCACGCTTATTGGGCGCCAGAGTGGCTGCATCCATGTCGTTTTCCTCGGTTAGGGTGCCGGGAACACTGTCTCAAACTGACAGCCGGGGCTTAGGTGCCCTCCGGCCAAAGCAGGCCAGTGCCTGGACCTTGGAGTACCCCTTCCCAGCCCTCCGCCCAGGGCCTGAGGCCAGGTACCTCTTCCCGCCCCAGGCCCCTGAGCCTCTGAGCTCTCTGAAGTCCATGGCAGAGCGAGCAGCCATCAGCTCCGGCATTGAGGATCCAGTGCCAACGCTGCACCTGACCGAGAGAGGTGAGGGTCCGGCGTGGTGGGGGCAGCCCAGCGAGGAAGGCCCTGCTCCACTCCAGCCTCACCCAGGGGCTCGGCCCTGCCGTCCTCACAGACATCATCATCAGCAACACATCAGCCCCTCCAGCCTCGGCCCAACCGCCCCTGCAGCTATCGGAGGTGAACATACCATTGTCACTGGGGGTGTGTCCGCTGGGGCCGGTGCCTCTCACCAAGGAGCAGCTCTACCAGCAGGCCATGGAAGAGGCCGCCTGGCACCACATGCCTCACCCCTCAGACTCTGAGCGCATCAGGTGAGGGGCCCCAGGAATGCTGGGACCCGAATCTGCGGCCGGGAATCTGGTGTCTGGTCCTGAGACTACATGGACCTTGCTGGAAACCCAGTTTGGGCCTCCACAGTAGGTGGGGACCTTGGGCTGATCAATCAGGTGACTGCAAAGCTCCCACAGACCCAGTGGTGACAGGGAGGGGAAGGTCAAACCCACCCTTGGGACCGCGTGGGCGCTACTAATGCTGCGCTCCCTATAGGCAGTACCTGCCCCGGAACCCCTGCCCGACGCCCCCCTACCACCACCAGATGCCTCCCCCGCACTCAGACACTGTGGAGTTCTACCAGCGCCTGTCCACCGAGACCCTCTTCTTCATCTTCTACTATCTGGAGGTACAGCAGGGCCCCAGGGCAGCTTGGGGCCCCCGGCGTCGCCACCACTGCCGCTGTCCCCCTCGGGCTACAGGGGTGAGGTGGGTGCCCCACTGCGGCCACCAGGACCGTACCCCTACCTATCCCCCAGTCCCAGGTCTCTCAGACTAAACCTGTCCCCATCCCCACTGAGCGCAGGGGTGTCGAGACTGCTGAGGCAGAGGGCTAGGTTACCCACTTCTCGCGCCCGTCCCCAGTTGAGTCTCAGGCCTCCCTGGAGATCACCGGGGACACATACAGCATCACTGTGACCCCAGGGTGCCACAGATGACCTCCCCCTTCATCCCGCCCTTGGGACCTTCCTAAGTATCCTCAGCCCTCATGCGTATTAGTTTCTCTTCTCAAAGCTTCTCTGGAAGCACTTTCCACCTCCTGTTTCATTGTCCTTCTGACCAGTACTGGTATGTCTTACGTCCCCGCTCGTCTCCAGTGGAGTGTCTAGCCCCACCTCGGTCTGTGGCGGAGCCTGGGGTCAGCCCTGATGCCCCACCCTGTCCCCCTCGCCCCTCCCAATTTTGGTACCCCCTGATCCCCGCTCCACCCTCCCCACCAGGGCACTAAGGCGCAGTACCTTGCGGCCAAGGCACTGAAGAAGCAGTCGTGGCGGTTCCACACCAAGTATATGATGTGGTTCCAGAGGCACGAGGAGCCCAAGACCATCACTGACGAGTTCGAGCAGGTGAGACCCCGCCCTGCGGGCCCACACCCCTGCTGGTCCATTCTCCTTTCAGCACCGCTTTTGGCCAGCTCTGTTTGAGACACTGGCCTGTCGTCCTTCATTCAGCCAGCTCCTAGTCATCCTGTAGGTCCTAGCCTGCACATCCCTTTTTCAGAGGGGCCTCTTGGTCATGGTAGGGTGGGTGGGATATGTGGAGTTTCCCACCCGAGACCACACGGAACAGGGAGCTTGACAGTCTCCTTCCCCCATGTCCCCAATACTCAGCAAATACAAACAGGGAAACCATTGTTTAAACAACCTTTTCCATTTCCAATTAATTGATTGAAACCTCCCACTTCTTAAAACCACTCCAGAGACTACCTGGGTTTGGGCCCAGATTTAGCTGGGTGGCCGTGGGCAAGTTACTTGAACCTCTGTCTCCACTTCCTTTATCTGTAAAAACGGGGTAACAGGACCCACCTTACGCAGTTGTGACGATTAAATGAGTTAACACATAAGTACTTCATGGTGCTTGCTACATATGTCACGGGCATATTGTATTTTGTTTCAAGTAACTTTTTAATTGGTTCCATAGTACTTTTTCCACCAAATATTTGCCTAATTCCGAGTACTGAACAAGGTTCTTGTCCTCCGAGAATTCAGTCCCCTCCCCTTGGTTCTTCCAGGTTCTTTGAACCCAGCCTCAACCCCACTGTGCCTTCTCTGACACTACAGACTTCCTGTCCTCTCCTGGGTTGGTCCAAAGTAATCAGTCAAGTTAGTGTATTTCCAGAAATCACTCCTTCAGAAATTCTCGCACCACTACAGCTGTCACCTGGAAAATGTCTGTCCCATAGACTCGGCCTGTTCCATCTCTAGGACAGGGTAGTGGCCTTGAGGGGTTTGTAGAAGCTACATGCTGGGACATATACCACTGCTCTGCATCCAAACGTGCCCTAAAGCCACGCCATCCTGTGCAGTAGTAAGACTTGGCAAACGTGCCCACCACCAGGGCCGAGGCCGGGCTCTGGCGTGAGGCTGCTCTGCAGCCAGTTTCCTCTGAAACAGGTATGATGGCCCTTCCTGAGAAGACCACTGGCCAGGGCTGAGAGGGCTGGCTGCACAGGCCTGGTGTCTGGTGTGTCTGTGGCCCTAAGCACAGTCCCCTTGGTCCGTCGTTCTGGCCCAGCTCCCCATCCACTCACTGACCACCTTCTCCCCCGGCCAGGGCACCTACATCTACTTTGACTACGAGAAGTGGGGCCAGCGGAAGAAGGAAGGCTTCACCTTTGAGTACCGCTACCTGGAGGACCGGGACCTCCAGTGACACTAGCCCCTCCCTCCCCACCCCTCCCCCCCGCATGCTGATCCCCTGCCCAGGTGGGGGCCCTGCCCTGGAAGATGGGGAAGCCCCAGGCCACAGGGCAGCCCCCTCCCCCAGGAAGCAGGGAAGGGGCTGGGAGGTTTTCTCTTCCTCTCAGCTCCACCCTAGGGGCCCCAGGGGCAAGGGCTGCCCCCTCCTCCCCTCCCCAGTGAGGGACATTTTTTGGTAAACCTATTTTCATTTTGGAAAATATTTATGAATAAATAGTTTTATATGACGGCTGGTGGTAGCAGCCTCTACTGTACCCTCAGGAGTCAGTGAGCAAGAGGGGGGTCCTGCCAGCGAGAGCACCGGGCCAGCTGGGGGTTGAACTGGGAGTTGTACCGCCTTCGCCGGTCATCAGCCTCCTCCTCTGGCTGTTGCTCCTCGGGCGCCCCCGCCCCACCTCGGACACGGGCCAGCAGGGCCTCCGCCCGTGCCCTCTCAGCCGCTTCCCGCCGGAGACGGTCAGCCCGGAGCTGATCCAGGGATGGGGGTCTGGGAGAGAAGAGGCAGGTTAGAAAGCTAGCAGCCCCAGGAGGCATGAGCCTCCTCCTACAGGGAGTTACCACCTGGCTCTCACCCCCGCCTGCGACAAGTTCCTGGCTTCGCACTTGAAGCCATGAGACCTGGAAACCATAGGCAAAAATCGGGGCCTCCCCAGCCTTTCTAGTCAGGTGCCCCTTCGTGTCAAGAAATCAGCTTTGTGCCACTGAGCATACACTGGGTGCCTCAGTTTCTCTTTCTGTAGGAGGCTGGCCAGTACTCCCACAGTATACTCAGGTTGGGCATCCTAGGGACACCGACCTGCTTTTACTCTAACCCCACTGTTCTCAAACTCTGGTCTCAAAGCTCCAGGATCCCAGAAAGCTATGGTTTTGTGGGTTTTATCTACAAACATTCAGCATGGTAAAAATGAAAACAATTCTTCAGAACAGGTTTATGTCCCACTAACTATCAGAGCAGAGGCACCTCAGAAACCACCGCATACTGGAGAAGCCTGAGAGCTAAGTAGTGTTAGGAAAACAGCCTTAACCTTATAGACCTCCTGAAGGGCCCAGGGTCTCTGAAACCATGTCTGCCCAGCCAGCCCCTGACCCAGTGCCCACACGACCCCTTCCTCACTCTTTGGGCCGTTTCTCAGACCCCTCCTTTTCCTTTCTACTGTGACTGCCATCCTCGCCACTGTGCCTTCTCTTCCCCAAATGCTTCTGCATCTCTCGCAGAGGGTCCAGGCGGTTCTTGATCTTCACATCCGGTCCTGGGCCCGGTAGGGGGGGCCCTCGCCCTGGAGGGAGCTGGTACCAAGGGGGCCGAGTCTGGGCTTCCGCTGCAGTCTGGCCCAGGTATGTCAGGATGCCCAGAGCCTTCTCCTGCCTCTCCTGAGGGGACAGGAAATATGGGAGAGAATGTCAAGTGTCTCCCCTTAGTGGGCCCTGGATGTGACAATAGGGACACCCACAGCTGGGGAGGCAGAACCAGTCATTCAGCTAACTCTGCCATGTGCTGGGAATGCGAGACCACAAGTGGGTGTCCTGCACTGGGAGTACAATGGCAGGTTCAGAAATGGCACAGAAAGATGAGGATGGGATGGGGCTGCTTCAGAGTTCACAGGCAGGCTTGTTAGGGGAGATAATCTTAAAGCCAGCCAGGCAGGTGGAGGGCAAGCAGGAGTCTGTTGGGAAATCTGTGAGTGCAGGTGACAGGACCCGAACTGCATTTTACAAAGTGCCTTCAGCTTCCTGAATCCCTTCCCTACAGGGTCCTGACATCAGGCTGGAGACCAGAGGGGTCTGTACCTGCAGCCTTGGAACTGCTCCAGTGTCCACTTCAAGCCCCCACAGGCTTCATGGCAATAACCAGCACTCCTTGAGTGCTACGTTCTGGTTCCTTTGAGTCTAAATTAGCTCATTTAATCCCCACCTGTTCTCCATGCTCTTGTTAGTCCTAGCTCTATCCGTGGGCAACTGATGAAGGAGGCAAGGCCAGCTTACTTTCTCTTGGCGCTTTTCTTCCTCATACTCTTTGTTGCCTCTGGTCACCCCTTTCCCTTCCTCCAGCAGCTCCCGAAAAAGGTCCACAGGGCGAGAACTCAGCGTTCCTAACTCTGCTGCTTCGAGCTCAGGTAGGGAGTCCTGATGCCTGGCTTTCTTCCTTAAGAATTCTGTACGGGCCTGGGGGAAAAGGAAGTTATAGGCAGAACATTCAGAACCTAAATGTGATCCAAAGAACAGTGAATCTGGTGCTGGCCACAGAGAATCACAGTCTATGGTGCTGGGAGCTATGGGGAGGAGAGCAGGGCACTGCCCAGAAGAGGCACCAGTCCCAGCCTGGGGAGAGGGTGAGGGAGTGAGGCCACACCTGAATTTGTAAGCTGCCTTTCGAATGGCAAACCAGAATGGTGACACAATAAAGACAACTATGAAGGCAGCCAAAACATGTATTAGGACAGGCGATCTGTGTTCCAGGCAGGGGTCCAAGTCACTAACCCCAGTCGATTTGCACTCTCTACTGAAAAACGTGAATTCAAAAAGCCCAGATTACCTCCCAGCCAGTGCTGAGGTTGAGATCAGCTGAAGGACTGACGACCAGGTGTAAGTAAACTCAGCAGGTGAAGAAGCTTTACAGACCCCCTCGTGTTTTTTGTTTGGTTTTTTTTTGGCGGGGGTGTGTGTGTGTCAGAAAAAAGACTTGCCCCACGGAGCAGCGCTGGCTTGTCTCCCTGTCACTTCGCTGTGGCTTCCTCTCTGAAGCCATCTCACTCCTCTGCACTATGGGGTTGGCAGCAGCCCTCTAAGAACTAATGATGTTGCAGGGATTTCGCCAGCCAAGCGTCCTGCGCGGGGCAAGCATACAATAGGCGCACGACTGACTGGGCAAACTAAAAAGTCGGAGTTTCCCTGAAATGCCCAGGGGTCCCTTTATTCATAAGCGCCTACTCTGTGCCAAGCACCGCTCTGGCCAAGCAAAGAACACGAGTAGGGGAAACGAGGGCGAGGGGTGTCACCCTGTGACTGTCATTTGGTTGCATGCGTGCTCCGCACCTAATTTCGCGTGGGACGCACTGCGCCTGCGTGTCGACCGCACATCCGGCCCTTCCGGAGCGCCTGCGCGCTTGGCCTGGGCACTCCGCCCGGCCGCTCTCGGAGTTTACCTCTTGCTGAGCGAGCAGTACCCTCCGCTCACGCTCTTTCTCCTCCTCTCGTGCCTGGGCCTCGTCCCGCCGCACGCGGGCGACATTATCTTTGTTCCGGACGTGCCAGCTCTTCTTCGGCAAGATGTTCATGGCGCCGTAGCCGTCCACAGACTAGGTATCACTTACGATAGGCGAGAGGATGCCCCGCCCTCTTGTTCCTGCCTCGCCATGGATTGGCCTTGGGCTAACTGATACGCCCCCCCAGGGTCTGTAGCGACAGCTAATTGGCCAAAATGCCCATTTCCCTCTGAATCACGCTCGGTGTCGCCTAGCGACCGCCTTGCATCAACGGTTTGAGCCAATCACAAGTGTACCTGCACCCGCTGGACGTGACCTCTGATTGGCTGGAATCCCTGTCAGGCCCTCACAAAGCCAATACGTTTCATTGGCCTGTATCCCGCAGAAGCCTTGCCTCCGGCATCGGGACGCAAGTTTCAAAGAGCGCACAGTAGTCTCTGCTGTGTTTATTGATACAAGAATAAGGTTCATTACAGTCAGAGTGTTCAGAGCCCTGGAAATCTCAGAAACCCAAGGCTGGAAGGAAGTACATTCTTCTCCAGTTCTCTCATTTCACAGATGACGTGGTCTAGGCAGGTCTGGATCTGAAAGTGAGAGTCTGAGCCAGACTGAGAAGGTCAAAGAGCCCTGTTGGCGGAGCTTAGCGCCACAGCGCGCTGTGCTAGGAAGACTTTATTCTGCGCCTCCTGTGGTAAAGGGTAGAGAGAGGCAGTGAGACAGACATGTCCCTTTCCATATTCCCCAAGACCCCTTCCCAGGGATCCGGCCCGGCTCACCATCTCTATCTGCTGTTTGAGCTCAGAAATGAGGCGTCCATATGAGTTAGCCAGTGTCAGTGTATACACCATCAGAATGCTAGAGGAGACAGGAATAAAAGCCACTGTACAAACGCTCTTAGGATATCTTCATATGGCTCTCTAGAAACCCGGGATCTGGACACTCCCCCCTCCTCCTTCAGACCCGGGAGTCCACGTCCCCAGACCCCTCCTTTCTTCCGACCCCAGAGTTTAGGTCCCCAGCTTCCTCCTCTCGGATACAGGTAGCAGGGCCCCCTCACCTAGAGATCAGCAGAAGGGGCACAGCAAACGCCTGGGTCCCCAGGAAAAAGATAAAGTTCTGGATGGTCTGAGGGAGGCTGGAAATAGACTCAGGGATCTGGGCCCAGATGGACGACTGTCCCCGGAATGGACCACACAGCTTAGAAGGTGGGATCCTGAAGTCAGAGGCAGGAGGAGCTCAAGGATGGCCAAGAGTCGTAATGCTGGTTGAGGGTGGAGGGAGGGACAGAGAGGTAGGCGCCTCTCACACTTACAGGAAGATGCTATAAAGCACAGGAACCGCGGAGATGGCCAGACCGAGGAGAAGGACCAGAGGGAAAAAGAAATTTGCCATGGAGGCCCGAAAGGTGCGGGAGGCCGGAGAGCAGACGGAGAAGAGGGCAAGCTGGCGGGGGGGAAGGAGGAAATCTGAGACACAAGAGTGATCCCCAGACTCTTTTCTCCATCCATGAGTCCTGGCCCCCTTCTTAGGATCCAGGAGTCCCAGTCCTTTCCCACCATCACACCCAAGAGTCCCGGTCCCCTCCTCTCTCAGACCTAAACATGGGATACCCTAGGCCCCTCCTCCTATATCCAGGAGTCTATCCTCCAGACCCCTCCTCTTTCAGGATCCAGTAATCCGAGACTTTTAATATCCTCCTCCCCAAGGACCCACGAGTCACACCCCTCAGCCTCCTCGTCCCCCAGCGCCCAGAAGCCCAGGCCCCAATACCTCCAGCTCCAGACCGATGTTCCTCCCCACCCCTCACCTTCTTCAAATAGAAGAGCAGTAGGAACTTGGCTGTGTTGAGTAAGGGCAGCAGAGGGCAGAAAAAGCTCCCCACCCAGACCACCGTCTGCGCGTAGATGAGCCCCAGAACCTCATCGGGCACCTGGAATTCCTGGGTCCCCACCACGCGACGTAGTGTCCCGGGACAGAAGCCACAGAACAGTCTGAGGAGCCGGGGGATGCCAAGTCAGGGGGGGTTTCCCCGCCTCCACCATCCCACCTACCAATCAAAAGTGAGCATATCCGAGGAAGGGCGGAGTTGTCAAGGTTCTGGAGGGGGTGTGCCCGACGGGAAGTAACTACTTAACACGTGAAAGGGCGGGGTTTGCAGACATCGGGCAATGAAACAGAGTAGCAGAGGCAGGGCTAGAAAGAGGGCGGGGTCAAGGGAAGGAAACAGGACGCTGGGTGGGGCCCTCTCTGAAAGGGGCGGGGCCGCAGCGGGGTCTGGGCTCTCACTTCAGAGGGAACTGAATGAGCAGCATAACAGCCACACCAGTCAGCAGATCAAAAAGCAGGAGTCTGTACATCTCCTGCCCCAGCCGAGTCTCCCAGCACTAAGGAAGGAAAACAGGAGTCAGAAAGACCTCAGGACCCAGGCACCCGAAGCCCAAGCATCCGAGTCTCAAAATCACAAGTATATGAGACTCGATCAATACTTCCTCTGCGGGTCTTCAGTTTTTCAAACATCCATACCTCTGTCCTCAAGGGGAGGGTGTTTTAGCACCCCGTGCTCTTCCCTCCTCCCAGATCAGGAGTCTGGACCCACCCGGCTCCTTCTTTCCTTCAAGGCCCCGGGAATCCTGGCCCGCTGTCCTCCTCACCGGAAGTTCTTTGTAGTTGTAGCCACAGGTTTTGCACTCCCCAGCCTCCGTATTGCCCCCACAGGTGATTTGATTCCAGAGGGAGAGGAGCAGGACCAACAGGGAGGCCAGGCGGAGAAACACGGTCCTGGAAAGGGAGAGAAAGGGGATCAGCCCTCACCAGGTGCCTGGCGCGTGCCAGGCCGCTCTGCGCAGAACGTACTCACGAGTCTCCCCATCTCACAAATGAAGGAACTGAGGCTCGGTGGCAGAGAGGGTTGGAATTTGAATCCAGACCTAATTGGATCCCATATTTCGGGATTTCCGTGTTTTATCTGCCAGAACCAACGTCCCTCGACCGACCTGCCCCGCCATCATCTCCAGCCCACCCCAAAACGCTAGAACCTGAGCAGGATTAATATGATCTGGCGGCTCCTGGTGTAGCCCTCCAGTGGGGCAATGAGCTTGAACATGGGTGGCAGCACAAAGTTGACCACTGAGATGAATATGGACGGAAGGTAATCCACCCCGAGCTTTAACAGAGGCATCTGTTGGACAGGGGGCCACTCCTAGGAGGGAGAGGGACCAATAGAAGAGGCTCTGGGGTCTTGGAGAAGCCAAGCTTGATGTCCTCCCCCAGCCTCTTCTTCCCTCAGCACCCTGAAGTCTGAAGGCCAAACATAACCAACCGCCCATCCCTCCTAAGATCCCAGGAATCTTAGACCTCAGTCGTCTCCACACCTGCAGCTCCACAGTGGACTCTGTAGCCCAGTAGACGCCGTAGAAGGCTGCCCCCAGGAGCGTGACCACCAGCAGGTTGAGCAACACCCGCACTGACCACACCCTGGCTTGCTGGCCTAGGGTCCGCACCGCAGCTCGGCGCCGCACCACTGCTTCCTCCAGCTCCACCTGAGGCCAGGAGAGATGTCCATTTGGGTGCCATTCCCCCAGGCCCAGCCAGGGGCCCAGAGCCCTGGTTCAGCTAGAACTGATATAGAAACACTCCTCTGAGGACTTCTGTAATCCTCTCAGTCCCTCCAGGGCCCTCCAGGTGACAATTTAGGTCTCCGGGCCCCGCCTTTACAGGCCCTGCCCAGCATCAGAAGCCACACCCAAGGCCCTGCCCATCGCTCATGCCTGGTGCAGGAGTTGTTCTACTTTATCGAGCCCTTTCTGGCCACGCCCTTCTCAACTTCGAACCAGGAGCTTTAGATCCCGCCCCTTTCCTGCCGCAAGCTTTTTCCTGTACCCTTTGACCTCAGGCATCCCCGCAGCCTCCTCCCAATCCTCTCATTCCCCAAGGCCCACCTCCTTAGAAGATAGCTATACCTAGTATCCCCTCTGAAGCCCCACCCGTATTCTAGGCCCCGCCCACTGTCTCATCCCCGCCCCCTCTGGCCCCTATCTGATTGTGGGTCCCGCACCCTAAGCACACCTGCAACTCGTATAGGATAATGCGTTGGCGCAGCCGCACGTGGACATCCCCGCTGAGGCCAAAGTCCCAGGCAGAGAACACCCAGTGGCTGTAGCTGGTCAGGACGCCGGACTCAGCCAGCAATGTCTGCTTCAGTCCGGACACCGAGCTAAGAGAGGCGAGATGCGGGAGGCGGGATGTAGCAGGGTAGCCACGCGCGGGTGGGGGTTGGGAGGCAAACAGGAAAAATACACCCTGAGACCTTGGGCATTTGGCGAACTGCTACCTGGTGGAGAAAGTCAGAGGCAGAGACACGATACAATCCTTGGAGCCGAAGACCAAGAGATATTCCGAGATAAACCCTGAGATCAGACACCCGACAGAGACCTAGTAAACAGGGACCCAGATCCAGGATAAAGACCCTGGGGAGAGACAGAGGTGTAGAGGGGGAATGACAGCCCCGAAGGGGACAGAGTCAGAGAAAGGGAGAAAAAGACTCAGTGAGGAGAAAAAGACCTAGAAAGAGGGGTCAAGGACTGAGGGAAAGGGAGGGACAGATACCTTCCCTTTCTGGCAGGGGAGAAGGACAGACTCAGAGAAGTGAAGGGGAGGCAAAGAAGAGAGGGGCAAAGACCTGGGGCAGGGAACAGAGCCAGCGAAAGGGAAACAAACAGCAAACTGGGCAGAGGGAGCCCATTCCACCTTCCTCGCCCTAGTGCAAGCCTCCACCACCACTTCTCCAGTGGATGGCATAGACGTCTCTCAGGTCTCCATGCTTCCACCTGTCCCCTCGGAATCCTTTCTGGTTTTGAGCCAGTGCAGATCAGATGGGATTTCCTATTGAAACCTGCTCCACAGCTTCTCCCTGTTCCTGACATGCAGGCTCCATCACATAGGCAGGGCCCACCCAATCTGGCCCTACCTACTTCTCAAAGCTCAGATTCTGTCCCTCCTCCCCTTCCTCCTGTCCTTTCATTACTCAGATCACCCCAAAGCTCTTTCCACCACAGGACCTTTGCACTAACAGTTACTTCTTCCTGGAATACCCTTGTCTCAATTGTCCACCTGGCTGGCTCCTTTTCGTCCTGGTCTCCATCTACAGGTCACCTCCTCAGAGAGTTCTTTACTGACCCCTCCACCTCATGAGGGTCCCCAGCCTTCTATTCTCTATTTTATTCTCTATTTTACGGGGTGGCAAACTACAGCCCAAGGACAAAGTCCTGCTTTTTGTAAATAAAGTTTTACTGGAACAGCCATCCCCAATCGCATACGTACTGTCTACAGATGCTTTTGCCCTGCCACTGTGGAGAGTAGAAACTGAGACCCTATGGCCCACAAAGATGCAAATATTTTCTGGCTGCTCTTTACTTTTTTATGACAAAAAAATATGCTGATCTCTGCTATATCATATCATGAAGGCCTCCTATGTGAGTGTATCAACTCACCTGTAAGGTAATCACATGGAATGTGCAAGTGTAGCAAATGAACATTGTACACTTTAAAGTTATACAATGTTATATATCGATTATATCAAAAAAAGCTGGACATATCATTCCATTTGTTTTCTACATAGCTTTGCTCCCAAACTGAAATGGTTGATTTGCTTGTTTAGTAATTTAAGTCTATCTCACAGTTTATCTCCCCTACTAGATTGTGTGGGCAGTGTGATAGCTGAAAGAGTCTTGAAGAAGCTTCTGGAGGCTGGTCATGTTCAATTTCTTGTTATGAGTGGGAACATTCCAAGCTCTACTCTTTGGTTTGTGCATTTTTCTGGATGTGTGTGCTATTTTTAAAAATAAAAATAATAAAAATAAAAAAATAAAAATATATAGTTAACTAATATTTGACAAGGGAGCCCACATACTCAATGGGGAAGCACAGTCTCTTCAACAGTGTTGGGAAAACTGGATGATGACATGCAGAAAAATGAAATTGGATCCCTATCTTATGCCACTCACAAATATCAACTCAAAATGGATTAAAGACTTAAGCATAAAACCCCAAACCATGAAACGCCTAGAAGAAAACATAGGGGGACGTCTCCTTGCAATTGGTCTTAGCAACAATTTTTGGGGATGTGACACCAAGAGCACAAGCAACAAAAGCAAAAATTAATAAGTGGGACTACATCAAACTAAAAAGCTTCTGACAGCAAAAGAAAACATCGACAAAATGAAAAAGCAGTCCACCAAATGTGAGAAAATATTTGTAAATCATATACCTGACAAGAGGTTAATATCCAAAATACATACAACTCAATAGCAAAAAAAGAAAAGCAAAAGCAAAACAAAAAAACCCTGATTTTAAAATGGTTAAAGGAATTGAAAGGAATTTTCTAAAGATGTACAAATGACCAACAGGTATATGAAAAGATGTTCAACATACCTCACCAGTTTCACAAATGAAAACCACAATGAAACACCATCTCACACTTCTCAGAATGGCCATGATCAATAAATCAACAAACAACAAGTGCTGACGATGATGTGGAGAAAAGGGAACCCTCATGCACTGTTGGTGGGAATGTAAGTTGGTGCAACCACCATGGAAAACAATATGGAAGTTCCTCAAAAAATTAAAATTAGAACTACCCTATGACCCAGTAATTCCTCTTTTGGGTATCTACTGAAAGGGACTGAAATCATTATCTCCAAGAGGTATCTGCACTCTCAAGGTCATTGCCACATTATTCAAAATAGCCAAGACATGGAAAGAAACTGTCACCAGGGGCTGTGGGGATGTGTGGGAGAAATGGGGAGATGTGGGTCAAAGAGACGAACTTCCAGTTATGAGCTGAATAATGTCCAGTGTGGTGACTGTAGTTAATGACACCATACTACACACTTGCAACTTGCTAAAAGAGTAGATCTTAAAAGTTCTCACCATAAAAAATAGGGGGTAATTATGTGATATGACGAAGGAATCCTATATAAGTATGTCAAATCAACTGTAAGGTAATCATATTACAATACATACATGTATCAAATCAACAGGCTGTATATTAAAACGTATACAATGTTATATATCAATTATCTCAAAAAGCTGAGAAAGTTCGATGTAAAAAGAAATCCAAAATTGATTACTTGTCACCCCCCTGGTCCAAGTAAGCCACCATGATCTCCCACCTGAATTGCTACAACAACCTTGCCCTGTAATGCAACACATAATTAACTCATTTATGGCTTACTGCTTATCTCTTGTCTCCCCGCTAAAATGTCAGCTCTGCCAGGACATGATCTGCTGGCTTTTTGTTTGTTTGATCTACTGTGTGTTTTGCCAACTGCCTAGAACAATGGCTGGCACATAGTAGCTGCTCCATAAATATTTGTTGCATAAATGAATGACTAACTGATATTTGTTTTCGGTATCTTGCATCTCCCTTCCAGAAAAGATGTGATTAATTTGCTTGCTTGTTGAATAACATACCTTCCCTAATAGACTCTAAGCCACAAGAAGGTAAAAGTTCCCATCTTTATCCTTGGCCCTGAGCACTTAAGCATTTAAAAAATTGACTTCAACTCAGAGAAAACGGGATCACAGAGTGAGACTCAGGGCTCCTGGGGAGGGACTTCTACCAGCACTGCTCTCCTCTACCCCAGTGGTCCAGGGTCTGGGTGTGCAGGGGTGTCACTGACCGATGCAGGATGAGCACCAGGGACAGAAGACCGATGGCGAAGGTAGAGCACAGGTAGGAGACTGCCAGGCGCGGGCGTGGAGGGTAGAACCCGTAGAAGAGAGGGGACCATTCTAGAAACCCCTGGGGATGGAAAGGAGGAGCAGGGGTCACCGTGGGACTGGCAGGGGCGGGGTTCATGGAGCTGTGCGATCACTGTGGCTCGGAGGAGGTCTCCCAGAGGAGGTCCAGGCACTCACCTCCCCCGAGAGCAGGTTGAAGACCTGGGATGGGAAGGTGATCAGGCCCTGGGGGTGGGGGTTGTAGGAGCCGCAGAGTGAGGAGGGGTCAGGGCCAGGGGGACCCGGGGGAGCTCCGTCCAGCCAGGCGGGCAGCAGCGTCATGCAGGCCTTTAGCACGGAGGCCAGCACGTTGAGAAGCAGCAAGAAGCGCAGCAGCAAGAAGTAGGACTCGGTGCCGGCTCCAAACTGGCCTGCAGGGGGTGGCAGAGAGGAGTCGGGCTTCTTTCTGAGGCGGGACCGACCCCTCCACCCCACCTCCCTGAGACCCGGGAGTCCGGCCGTCCCCCAGCCCCATCGCACCCCCAATTCTCTTCAGCGTCCATGCCCAGGGCTCCAAGCTGCGCAAGCCTTCCCACATCTTCTCCTTGGACCTCCGAAGCATCAGGGCCCGGTGTGCCGCTCTGGACCCCGAGCCCTGGGCCACTTGGTCCCTGGTGTAGCTCTGCCTGGAAGGAAACAGGCGGAAAATGAAGGGCCTAGCAGCCCCAGATGGAAACCACCCAGATGCAGAAGTAACCCGACAGTACATTGCGGTGAGTTCTTGACAGGGATTCTCTAGAGCGATGAAAAGAAACACATGATGCTAAGCAGAGGCAGCCAGGAGGAACAGCAGGACTGCAGGGTCTACTGACTGGGGTCCCAGAGCAAGGGTAGAAGTGAGCGCTGCTCTGAAGTGTGCAGACCCAGAGGGCCCAGCTCTGAAGAGCAAGAAAGTGATGGTGTACAATCTTGTGAGGGGGGCTTGTAGGGTGCTTTGGGGTACTGTGGTGTCTCTCATTCTAGGTGAGGTTCACGTGTGCCTGCACTATAGGAATACTCTTTGCATCTGTACATCATTTTCCCTGCATTTACCTGTAGACAAATATCAGAGTAAACATTAAAAAAACAAAAACAAAAAAGAAAGGAAGATGTGATATCCTGACTGCTAATGAGAAAGATATGTTTGGTCTTCAACCCGTTTTTGGCACACAGCTCCTAAAACCCGAGGAATTTCCTAAGTGCTGAGAACAATTAAGCTGTCTTGTTATGTTAATGAGTGACAGCTAGAAAGCACCCAAGGGTAGGGGCTGGCTGTCAGTGGAACCGACCAGGTGATTAGGAGTTTGGACTGCTCATCGCCACAGTGGGGCTGGAAGGTTGAATCAGTCAGCAATGCCAATGACTTACTCGATCACGCCTATGTAGGAAGTTTCCATAAAAACTCAAAAGAATAGATTCAGAGAGCTTCTGGATTGGTTGAACACGTTGAGATTTGGGGAGAGTGGTGACCTCTGAGAGGGCATGGAAGCTTTTTTGTTCCCTTCCCCATACCCGGCCCTATGAATCTCTTCCATTTTGCTGTTTGAATTATATTCTTTTACAATAACCAATGATCTAGTAAATAAACTCTTTCTCTGTGATCTGTGACGTGTTCTAGCAATTGAACCTGAGAAGGGGGTTGTGGGAACCTCCAATCTATAGTCGGTGGGTCAGAAGCTCAGGCGACAACCTGGACTTGTGACTGGGGGCAGTTTTGTAGGACTGAGCCTTTCACCTATGGGTTCTGATGCTGTTTCCAGGTAGATAATGTCAGAACTGTGTTAGATTGTAGGACACCAGGAGAATTGCCTAATGGCATGGGGGGGACCCCTCCCACACCCATTAGAATTGTGTCAGAATGACAAAGAAACAAGAGTCAGTTTCAAGGGCCACCTGAGCAGCCACACGGGCCCCATTCTTGGAAAGGCCTTGCCCGGGCTTCTAGTGTCATGCTGTTGTGATCTTGAAATGTGTAATAATGATTTAAACAAGAGACCCAGTGTTTCCATTTTTCACTGGACCCTACAATGTATGTTGAGGGAGAGAGGAAAGAAAGGAGTGAGGAGTGTCAGGTTCGGAAGTGGAGGAGGCAAAGACAGAGGAAGACACAAAGCAGAGAGGGAAAAATGACAGATTTCAGACTCAGAGATAGTGAGAGGCTTGGAGGAAGAGAATGCAAACCTGAGAGGGAGAAGCGAGTCGGGAACCACGAAAGACTCCTTGGAGTCAGAGAGGCAGAGGCACTGATGGGGAAGAGGAGACCCAGATCGGCAGGGAGGACAGGGAGGGGCGCACATAGACCCCAGCAGGTGGGAGGTGGGCCTCACCTGTGTGTCCGTCTGGCCTGCATGGGCCAGGGCAGCTCCCGGGAGGCAGGGGGGTCCCGCAGCTCTTTTGGGAAGCCTTCCGCGAAGGCCTGGATGCTCCTTTCTCCATCATCCTCCTCATTTTCCAGTGCCCCCCAAAGCAACACCCCAGGGCCTCGGTACCGAAGGGTGGCTGCACTGGGGAGCTCACTGAGCACTGAGGACAGTGATGGGCCTGGGAAGGACAGGGACTGGGAGGACCCAGGAGTCCAGAACCCAAGCCTCCTCCCTCAGACCTGGCAGTCCAGGTTCCCAGCTTCCCAGCCCCTACTCCTTCAGACCCAGGGGTCCAGGCCCCCAAGTCCCTCCCTAAGCACTAAGGTGGACCCTCCAGGCCCCTCCTACCCCAGGGCTGAGGAGTCCATTACTCAATTTCCTGTTCCCTCTTATGCGGACTTTTGGTACCATGGCCCCTCCCACTCCTCAGATTTCCCATTTCCACCCCCCACCTCCCACCCCCTGGACTCCAGTCAAGGTCTCAGACCCCTCTCCATGACCCAGGAATCCCAGCCTCCGGTTCCCTTCTCTCCTAGAAACCCAATCATCGAAACCCTTCCCCCATTTGCTCTCTGGACCCTGGCATCCAGCCTTTCATTCTCCACCTCCCTGGGAACTTCCACCAGCCCCAGGGGTTCGACTCGAACTTCCCAGCTCCCCCACCTGCCCTGGGCTCCCAGGGTGCTGGCCACCCCGTGGTAGAGCCCCTCGCCTCAGGTTCCCATGCAGGGGTCTTTTCCATGGCCCAAGCGTAGTTGTTCCCGTCTCTAGGGTCCAGCGGCAGGGCTTGCCGGAGGGAAGGGCGGGGACTGGGACAGGTTGTACCTGGGGAACCAGGTGGCCTGGGAGGGAATACGTGTACTTCCTATAACCTGTCAGGGCCGCTGCTCCGAAAGGTCCCCTGGGAACTGAAGTCCACATGTATCAGTGTGGCTGCTGGGGGCTGGGGCACCACAGCACACAGGAGTCGGTGGCACAAGTCCCCACATCAGTTGGTCACCCAGATACCCCACATTCACAGGGTCTGTGTGCAACACTTTATTGGGTGAGTCACACATTCTGACGCTGTTAGGCCACAGGATAAGAGAGTGACAGGAGTGTTGGGACCCTGAGGTGGCTCAGACAAAAGCCGCAAGAACGGTGGGCCCCAGGCTTGCTCGACTGAGCCTGTTTTCCCTTTGTGGAGTGGGAAGGTCGTGTTTACTTCCAGGCCTGAAACACTGGTGTAGCAGAAGAGGGGCAAAGCCACCAGAGGTGCCTCACACCCAGAAACTGCCCTGGGCTGCTCCCCCAGTGGAAAGCAGAAGGGAACTTGCTCTCGGCCCCTGCTGTTGCAGGGGACGGTGGTCTGGCTCCCTGAACATCCACAAGCTGTGGCAGGGATAAAGGAAAAGTCTTGTCTGGAAAGCATTTGGGTTTTACAGGAGGGACATGGCCTTCTGGAACTCTCAGGTAGCAGGCAGGAAAGCGGGAGAACCCTCAGCAGTGCTTAATGAAAGGCGGAACACTGGGCAGGGACAGGGAATCCTCTCCAGGCCCCGAGCACATCAAGGACTCTGGGAAAGGAGCCAGTAGCCTGGTTCACGGAATTCCCAGGCAAAAGCCTTCGATTGGCTTACTCCTCCCTGAGCTTTTCCGGGGCAAGGCTGGTGGCCTGGGACCCCGTCTTCCGCCGGCTGGGGCTGCGCCCACCCAAAGCCAGCCCCAGGCCCAGGGCCACCAGCGCCAGGACATGAATGCAGAAGTAGATGGAGGCCCAGTAACGGAGGGTCTGGCCCAGCGAGAGTAGCACAAAGCCCATGCTCATGTAGTCATAGGCACGCATTTTTAGGAACCAGTGCACCCAGTCCCAAGCCCGCTGCCCGCCAGGTCCAAACCGCCCCCGCAGTGCCGACTCCAGCCGCCCCTCCGCTGCCAGGCACAGCGGGATGGTCAGGAAGCTCAGGTAGTAGCCAGGGTGGAGGCCATGCCAGTAGGCACTCAGCAGCATGGTCCAGGCACTCCTGCAGGAGGAAAGGGAGTCAGACTCTGGGGTCTAAGCCCCTAGCCCCTTCTCCCTCAGATCTAGGAGTCTTTACTCTCTTTTCAGAAATCCTGTTAACTCTTTCTCAGCACCCCTTTTTCTCAGGACCCAGATATCCAGGCCCCCAGCTGCTTCCCCTTTGGGGATCATGGAGTATAATTCCTGTTCCACAAAGACTCAGAAATCTCCAGCCATGGTGTCCTCTCTGTGTGGACCCCAAATGCTAGCCTTTGAAGATCCACAGACTCAGACTCCGGTTGCAGCTTCCACAGAAAACTGAGACAGTGGCCTTCTGGGAGTTTGGGAGCTGGCGTGAAGGTTGTTCCTGCCCATGGCATCCACTTGTCCCTCTGGCACATCAGGGGGCTTGAAGCACAAAAATCACCTAAGACAATAGTGCCAAACACCACGTCCTTCAAGATGTAAGTGTCCATAAGATGGTTGCATTTTCCTTGGCCATCTCCTCGAAAAACCTAATGTTTGAGAATCTTTCCTCGGTCCTTTGGATACAGATGTAAATCTTTGAAAAGGCAAAATAAGCCTGTAGAAAGCCTTCAGCCCAGGGATGTTTTTCTTGGGGCCTGAGAGCCATCTCTTTGAAACCTAATCGTCATAGAAGACAGCGAGCCCTGTCTTCTGGCCACTGTGGGGGTGCATCCTAGGCCTGGTCCACTGTAGCCACTTGTTTGTCAGAGATAGTTTATTCTTCAGGTAAAGACCACTGTTTAGCACAGGGGTACCCCAATTACCAGGTGAATTAGGGATGGACGTGAAAGGAGGCAGGGCAAACAGTGCCGCTGAGCCCTCTTCCGTGCAGACAAGTTATGGTTTCTCTCGAGAACATGCTGTGTAAAGGCCAGTAAAGGGCAGGGTGTAAAAGGATGAGATTTATTTCTGTCTTGGTAACACCATTAGCGGTGACTTGTGATGCACAACACCATCTGGTTTAATGCATATCCAATAACAAAACTATGATCTTTGTTTCATACTTATGGTAGAGAATTCTCTGGGGCAGGATGCTATCCTCAATGGGGGACAGGACAGGAGGATACATACCCAGGGATTTCAAACCTGTCCTCTATCCAATTTGCGTCCAACCCCATTTTGCTGCCCTTTCGTGCAGCAAACACACTCCAAAGACTCATCTGTGCTCCTCCTTGGCACATCCCCTTCTGTTCTCTCATGAACCTGCTCCAACCTGCCTTTCACATCTGCCCCATAAACTGCCCCATCAAGGGTACCTCCTTCCATCACACCCAACCCAGTGGTCCCCCCTGCCTTCATCACACTGAGCTCCTGGCCCCATGTGACACAAGTGATCACTCCCTTCTCCTTGAAACATTGGTGTCCTCGGCTGCCTTCCAGGAGTGCTTTGCTGACGGTCCTTCTATCTCATGGCTGTGTCTCGGCTGCCCCTCCCCCTGGTCCACGTTCTTACCCTAGGCACTACTGACATTTGGGGCTGGGTGGTTCTTTGGTGTGGAGGGGCTGTCCTGTGTTGAGCTGCATCCCTGCCTTCTACCCACTAGATGCCAAGAGCCATAACCTCCTGGTTATGACAAAAACATCCCCAAGGTAGACAGGGTAAAGGGGGTCAAATATAGGGGATAAGGGGAGGGTGAAGTGGGTAAAGGGGATCAAATATGTGGTAGCTGAAGGAAACTGTACTTTGGGTTGTAAATATGCAATAGACTATACAGATGTGAACATGTATTTATAACATCAATTTTCTATATATAGATATATACCTAGAAACATAGATATCCATGTGAAATCAGAGATCTAAAATGTGTATATATGATGTGTGTATGTATGTGTATATATATATATATATATATATATATAGTCCCCAGACATTGCCAAATGCCCCTGCAGGTGAGGCTCAAACGCCCCAGTTGAGAATGCCTCGTTTGAACACTGGTGTGCCCTGGGTTTTGACATGCCTCTCAGCCCCCAAGCTTTAAGTATCATCTGTCTATACCTGATGACATTCAAGTGTCCACTTCTTACCAGCCTTTCTCTTAAGCATCAGAATCACATAACAGCCTATCCAGTAACCCCAGCTAGAAATCTAACAGTCACTCCAAAGTCACTTGGGTTTAGCAAGACTAAACCAAAGGCTCGCTTCCTTATACCACTCACTCCTGAAACTTCTTCGTGCCTGGGCCTCCCTTTCTTGGGAAATGGCTCTTCCATGCTCTCAGTCACTCACACCCAGCACTCGGGCATTGTGTTTCATTTCCTGTCTTTCTCATGTCCCACATCCAGTCCATATCAAGCCCCAAGTCCACCTCTCAAATCCATCCACTTCCGGCCACTGTTCTCCACTCCAGGACACCATTACCTCTTGCCTGGCCAGCCCCGAAGGCCTCTGATTTCATCTTCCAGCTTACTTCCCACTCCCTTCCTCTACTTCTACTATATTCCCTACATGACACCAAAGTCCATTTTTAAATTGGATCGCACACCCAGGTAAGCCTAGCTCCAGAGCTGCCATTGTCAATGACTTCATTATGAGAATGTGTCAGGGTGAATCCTCACCTTATCTGGTGGCTTCAGGAAGGCTGAACGTCGCTCACGGGTTACCTAACCTGTCTGAGCTTTGGTCTTATCTTTAAAAGGGGAACAAGAGTTCCTACTTCCTAAAGTTAGGAAGATAAGGTCTGGCACAAAGTCTCCATTCAAGAAATATCAGATGAGTAAAGAATAACAGAAGCTAATATATCGTGAGCACTCAGCTGGAAGGCCTCACATGGAGTACATTTCATGCTTTATCTTGCTTAATCCTTATACGAACCTAGCAAGCAGGTAACAGCAGTACCCCATTTAAAAGAGGATGCAGAACACACTCAAGGTTTCTTAGTAAGTGGTGGCTGATATTCTGTAAAGCCTAGCTACTGAGTCCAGGGGGCTCAGTACACTGCTTCTTTTTTCTTTTCTTTTTTAGGTGAGGCAACCCTTGGTTGACCTCACAGATGGCAAGGACCTTGTTAGCTTACAATCCCTTATTTTTTATTTTTTATGCCTACAGCACCTGGTCTTCCTAGGTGGTCTCCTATCCAAGTACTAACC